CAATATCCAGATACAGTTACAGCGCCACCTGCTGGCCACAGGAAATGACATGATTTACGGACTAACAAACTCCTCCCACAAATTTTATCGTATCAGCACCAAAATTGAGTGGTGTCATCTGAAAGCTGTAGCGATGATATATTGTGAAGATCTAGAGTTTTCGCAGAGGGGTGTGTCCGTGGCGGTATGACAAACCTCAACGCTTCGCCATGGAACAGGAAGTCCTTATAACTCAACTACACAATGTCCGATCTGCCTGAAACTTCACATGGTTGATAAACGTCATCTCTTGAACACATCCACATAACAATATTGAAGTGGGCGTGGCAAAATGACTCGACAGCGCCACCTAGAAAAATTAAACGGACGAGCCCCCGATCTACAAATTACGCAAATGCACAAAAATTGGCACACACCTCAAACATGGCAAAACATACGAAAAAGTCTCTTGGAGCCATATCTCAAACCCAACAGGAAGTCGGATATTTTTAACTTCCTATGGCGAAAAAGTGGCACTTTTGCCATTTTCAGGTGTTGTATTTTAACGAACTCCTCCTAGGGATTTTATCCGATCGACACCAAAATTGGGTTTTGTCATCTTAAAGCCTTGGCGATGTTAAATTGCGAAGCTTTAGAGTTTTTGTCGACGGGCGTGTCCGTGGCGGCCTCGCAAACTTTGATGATTCGCCACAAAACAGAAAGTCGTTATAACTCAGGCATGCATTATCCGATCTGCCTCAAAATTCACACATTTAATAACAGTCCTGACCTGAACAGGTTTACGTGCCGATATCCAGTTACAGTTATAGCGCCACCTGCTGGCCACAGGAAATGACATGTTTGACACTGTAACAAACTCCTCCCACAAACTTTCCCGTATCAGCACCTAAATAGAGTGGTGTCATCTGAAAGCTCTAGCGATGATATATTGTGAAGATCTAGAATTTTTGCAGAAGGGCGTGTCTGTGGTGGCATGACAAACCTCAACGCTTCGCCATGAAACAGGAAGTCCTTATAACTCTACCACACAATGTCCGATCTGCCTGAAACTTCACATGATTGATAAAAGTCCTCTCTTGAACACATCTACATAACAATATTGAGTCAGTAATAGCGCCATCTGCTGGCAGAAGGTAGTTTGGCTTGTAACTCGGCCACACAATGTCCGATCTGCCTGAAACTTCACATGGTTGATGAAAGTCCTCTCCTGAGCACATCTACATAATAATATTGAGTTTTTAATAGCGCCACCTGCTGGCAGAATGTAAATTGTCTTATAACACAATCTCCACACAATCTCTGATCTGCCTGAAACTTCACATGTTTGATAAAAGTCCACTCCTGAACACATCCCGATAACAGTATTGAGTCAGTCATAACGCCACCTGCTGGCAAAAGGTAGTTTGGCTTATAACTCAGCCACAAAATGTCCCATGTGCCTGAAACTTCACATGGTTGATTAAATTCCTCTCCTGAAGACATCTACATGCCAATCTTGAGTCACAGGTATAGCGCCATCTGCTGACAGGAGGAAGTTTGGCATAAATCTGTATTTTTCTTAGGTTTTTTATATATATATCGGCTTATATTATTATTGTTCGCTGTTCTCTGTCATCGTAAGGTCACTGGGCGGTGGTGAGCCCGGGTGCGAGGTCCCTATCATCGCTGCTTGCAGCTTTAATTCTTCTTCTTCTTCTTCCGCGGAATGAATCGCGGTTTTGAGGGGCTAAACATGCCCGAAAACTCACGATACTTTGCACACGCCTCAGAAGTGGCGAAAATTTACGTTTATTATGGGTCTCGGAAAGGGGTGTGGCAAAATGACTCGACAGCGCCACCTAGAAAATTTAAACGGATAAGCCCCCGATCCACGAATCACGCACATGCACGAAAATTGGCACACACCTCAAACACACCAAAACATACGAAAAAGTCTCTTGAAGCCATATCTCAAACCCAACAGGAAGTCGGATATTTTTGACTTCCTGCGGCGAAAAAGTGGCGTTTTTGCCATTTCCAGGCGTTGTATTTTAACGAACTCCTCCTAGGGATTTTATCCGATCGACACCAAAATTGGGTTTTGTCATCTAAAGGCCTTGGCGATGTTAAATTGCGAAGCTTTAGAGTTTTCGTCGATGGGCGTGTCCGTGGCGGCCTCGCAAACTTTGATGATTCGCCACAAAACAGGAAGTCGTTATAACTCAGACATGCATCACCCGATCTGCCTCAAAATTCACACGTTTAATAAGAGCCCTGACCTGAACACGTTTACATGCCAATATCCAGATATAGTTATAGTGCCACCTGCTGGCCACAGGAAATGACATGTTTACACTGAACCAAACTAACTCCCACAAATTTTATCGTATCAGCACCAAATTTGAGTGGTGTTATCTGAAAACTCTAGCGATGATATATTGTAAAGATTTAGAGTTTTCGGAGAGGGGCGTGTCCATGGCGGCATGACAAGGCTTAACGCTTCGCCATGGAACAGGAAGTCCTTATAACTCAACCACACAATGTCTGATCTGCCTGAAACTTCACAAGGTTGATAAAAGTCCTCTCCTGAACACATCTTCATAAAAATATTGAAGTCGGCGTGGCAAAATGACTCGACAGCGCCACCTAGAAAACTTAAACGGACGAGCCCCCGATCTACGAATCACGCATATGCACGAAAATTGGCACACACCTCAAACATGCCAAAATATACGAAAAAGTCTCTTAGAGCCATAACTCAAACCCAACAGGAAGTAGGATATTTTTAACTTCCTTCGGCGAATAAGTGGCATTTTTGCTATTTCCAGGCGTTGTATTTTAAAGAACTCCTCCAAGGGATTTTATCCGATCAACACCAAAATTTGGTTTTGTCATCTAAAGGCCTTGGCGATGTTAAATTGCGAAGCTTTTGAGTTTTTATTGATGGGTGTGTCCGTGGCGGCCTCGCAAACTTTGACTATTCGCCACAAAACAGGCAGTTGTTATAACTCAAGCATGCATTATCCGATCTGCCTCAAAATTCACACGCTTGATAAGAGTCCTGACCTGAACACATTTACAAGCCAATATCCAGATACAGTTATAGCGCCACCAGCTGGCCACAGGAAATGGCATGTTTTACATTGTAACATACTACTTCACCAAATTTTATTGTATCAGCACCAAAATTGGGTCTTGTCATCTGAAAGCTCTAGCGATGATATATTGTGAAGATCTAGAGTTTTTGCAGAGGGGTGTGTCCGTATTATATTGAGTCTCTCATAGCGCCACCTGCTGGTAGAAGGTAGTTTGGCTTATAACTCAGCCATACAATGTCTGATCTGGCTGAAAATTCACATGGTGGATAAGATTCCTCTACTGAAGACATCTACATGCCAATCTTGAGTCACAGTCATAGCGCCACCTGGTGACAGGAGGAAGTTTGACATAAATTTGTGATTTTCTCGGGTTCTTTATATACATCGGCTTAAATTAATATTGTTTGCTGTTCTCTGTCATCCTGAGGCCACCGGACGGCGGTGAGCCCGGGTGCGAGGTCCCTATCATCGCTGCTTGCAGCTTTAATATTTATTATAGAATTTACCAGAACCTTTTAGTGTTTCGTGTATTGTTGATAAATAGCGTAGCAATATATATAAACCATATCAATATTCTTGGGATAACCAATTTAACAGTAGGATCTCTGGAGAGCTAAAGCACAAAAGGAAGAGGAAACATGAGGCACAAATTTTGAGTCTGTATCATCTGACAGAGCGAGAGCAGATCATTCGCACGTGAGCAGCCATGTTTTGAGTGCGTGCGACTGCGAGAAATTTTGTGGTTAAGCAGTTTTGTCCACGAACAGAAGATTACATGAATACACTCTCGACTTGTAAAACCATGCTTACAGCATTTGTCAGTAAAATAACGGCATATGCACATACGTCCATCTCGCGAATGTACTGTCATTTTCATCTATTTGTCGCTCATCCTCTGCGGGTCAGGGTTTCTGGGCTGAGCCAATGGCCTCGGACCTTGAGCTCAGAGTCTGAAATCATTCTGCGTTCAAAGTAAAGTAAGTTCCAATAGCCAGAGGGAGATTAATGACAACACGTGCATATGTTCATTAACCACAAACAGGAAATAGAACTTACTTGCGGTATTATTTATTTGTTAATGTCTTGCGGGGTTTGTTTTAACGCATCCGTTACTGACAATGTACAGAGTAAAATATTAATGAAAATGTATTAGTAATGCCTTACACTATTTTGTTTGTGTGTGTGTTTGTTTATTTATATATATATATATATATATATATATATATATATATATATATATATAGCAATCTGTACATATATTAATTGTAAATCTGTTCATAGCTAGCACAACCTGTATATAATGTTAATTGTACATCCATCTTTAAATATCACCATAGTTTTTCTATAACTGCACCTTATAACTTATACCTGTATCCTGCACTTGCTGCTTTTGCACTGCTGGTTAGACCTAAACTGCATTTCATTGCATTGTACTTGTACATGTGTAATGACAATAAAGTTGAATCTAATCTAATCTAATCTAATCTAATCTAATCTAATAGTTTGATCGCAGTGTTTACTACAATAATGTCACTAATATATGCATACTCTATGTCCTAATTCCATTTCTGTTTAGTTCAGTTATGACTAGGTGGATTAAGGTAATCAAAACTCGCTGTTTTGAGCTTATGTAGGCCTACAGTTTAAAATTCTTGTTTAACTGAATATACAGTTAGTAAATACAAGTACATCTTATTGAACATAATTTATTTTCATCACCAATTATCATAGTAGAACAGTTTCTCAAGCCGTTTGTCATGCATTTTGGAAACAGTCTAATGTGCCACCTGGGTTGAGAAACCCGCCAAACTCGGTCAACTTTGTACTTGTGTACTAGCACATATATTCTTAATGCCTTCGTCAGACATCAATATACCCCTCACTGAACATTATGCTAATGTTTTTCCATATATTTTCTCTCAGGTCCTTTTAAGTCAGGTACACAGGCTGAGGGCGCTGGATTTGCTTGGACGATTTTTGGACCTGGGTCCTTGGGCTGTCAGTTTGGTGAGACATCATACAGCACACTTTTAACAGATATTTTTGACTGACTTTTACAGTAAAGCTTGTAACACAAACCATGGCTTAACATTACTTTAGGTAATACGCACTGTATGTAAGTTGGTTTATATACATAAATGTTAATAAGACGAGATCTGTGAAAGAAAAAATATCTAATTAAATCAAGAACATACAATTTTTGAAGAAAATGTTTGGCTGCCTTGTATAATTGTTATGCTATTATTGTTGTTTCTGTCACTTTTTTATGCTGTTGTTTTTTTTTATGCAGGCTCTTTCAGTAGGAATTTTTCCATATGTGCTAAAACTGTTGCAGAGTTCAGCGAGAGAGCTGAGGCCTCTTTTGGTCTTCATCTGGGCAAAGATCCTGGCTGTAGATAGTGTATGTATCTTAAATTGATTGCATTGAAGATTTAGCATTTTTACCTGTAATTCCACATATTTCTCAGTATTATAGAACAAATATTTTAAAAATAGACTTCAATATCTGTTTGTAATTAAGGAAATACTGAAGAGTATGTGATTGGTTCTTTATCAAAGTCCAGGTCGACAATAGAACATTATAGCACATGGTATGAAAGGACTAGCAACAGATCATTTTCAAGATATGCTAGAGTACACCGCTTATGCACAGCCTCTGACAGTTACCACCTAGTGAATAATAGAAAATATTAAAGCAAGAAAAGGTAATACATTACAGTAATACATGACAGGTATTACAGGTTAAGGTATATATTTGTGTGTGTGTGTGTGTGTGTATATATATATATATATATATATATATATATATATATATATATATATATATATATATATATATATATACACACACACATACATACAGTTAGATCTATATGCATGTATGCATATATTCATTTTCATTTAATTTTCTTGTTGGCTTAGTCCCTTTATTAATCCGGGGTCACCACAGCGGATTAAACCGCCAACCTATCCAGCAAGTTTTTACACTGCGGATGCCCTTGCAGCCAAAACCCATCTCTGGGAAACATCCACACACACACACACTCATACACTACTGACAATTTACCCTACCCAATTCATGTCAAAATGTCAAATGTACTCCACAGTCACCAGATCCCAATCCAATAGAGCCCCTTGGGAATGTGGTGGTTTAAGAGACTCACATCATGAGTGTGCAGCTGACAATTCTGCCGAAACTGCGTGATGCTATCATTTCGATATTTGAATAATTGAATCTATGCCATGAAGAATTAAGGCAGTTCAGAACGCAAATGGGGTCCAACCTGGTACTAGTAAGGTATACCTAATAAAGTGGCCGGTGAGTGTGTATGTGTGTATTCTATGTAATGTAATGATTGTGAGGGTGCAGATGAGATGTAATTTTTTGAGAGACACTCAAATATATCACGTGCGCTGCGTTTGCAACCTCTAAGTCATGTAAAAATTTATTGCAAATTAAAATAAATATAATTTGATTATATTTCGCTAATTGGATGTTTTATTAGATTATTTGCAATTATTTTGCGTTTAATTAAGAATTTTGCACGATTGCAAAAATTTGCGTTGTCTTGTAGATTTTGCATTGAATTCAGCGATCGTGGAATTGCAAAAAACTAGCTATTCCAACTCATAACTGCACACATGTCATTTATGACATTGCAAACTTGACATTGCAGGTTGAAATGTCACCAAACTAAGTCTGTCACAGATCATAGTCTCGGAATTCAAAAGCAAATCCGTTAAACGTGTGAGCATGGATTCAAAGTGGGTGCCTTTGTACATCATGCTCAAGAATGAGAACAGTCTGCATATAACTGTTTTTTTTCAGGAGGATTTAAAAAAAAAAAAAGATTTGACTCTGAGTTGATTCCTGTCTTGTTGTCAACTAAAACACTATGACATTGAGACTCTTTTGAAGTAGACAATTTCTATCCATACCTCTAACGGACCAAGGATTTCCCCAGCAAATATTCACACAAAAGTGGAGAAAAAAAAGCAAAGAAATAAATTAAATTTCACATCAAAATTTCATATTTACTTCTGTAAGTTTTCCTGATAAGAATTAAATTTTAGGATGAAAATAGAGCATTTGATTTATTTTTTTATTGAAAAAAAATGCCCCTCTAAGATGTTAAAGTAGGGCAGTGTGAGATCAGGGGGGAAAAGCCCCAGCACAAGCACATAAACATAGACTAAGGCTACGTTTACACTGCAGGTAAATGTGGCACGAATCAGATTTTTTCCCCCTCATGTGACTCGGGTGATGACAGTGTGAACAGCCCAAACCGCATGGAATCTGATCTTTTCAGGTCATATCTGTGCCACTTTTATATGTGGTCTTAAACACATTTATATGTGGTCTTGACACAGATCTGATGTTTTGCAATGCGACCACAGTGTGAACGGTTATGTCGGATTTCATGTGACTTTTACATAAACTTTGAGTGACATGCGTCATCATTCTGTGCTGCACACATCATCTACCCCTCAGCAGCACAGTAGAACAGCACACAGGGCGATTACAGTAACACAGAAAGTTGGTTGTTCATGTTGAAAAAGATTTTGAAGGCATAACTGGTGCTTGTTAACAAATCTGGTTGACGATTGAGGCACGGGTTGATCGCGAAACTAAAAAGCATCGTGGGTATTGCGGATAGGGGATTCGGGTGCAATGGAGGAAGAACTTTCTCTCAGAGAGAAAAAAAATTGCAGGTGCCCGAGCACCCAAACCACCCTTCTGCACGTGTCTGCTGTTTATAACGAAGTGAAATTAAATAACTCCGCAAACGGAGATAAACCAACTCCGCCTTTACAGTTCAGTCTGCGGCTGCTCATTAACCCTTGATGAGTCCACTAAACCGGTGGTCAGAGCGCCACGCACAGCACTTGTTATAAATCACAAACGATCAGTGTTTTTTATCACAGGAGTCTTATTTTAGGTCTCAAATGACGAAATACACATTAGTGGTAGCAGAACAATCATTTACAGTTCATGAAATACACCACGGTTGTTGAGTTCCCCTGAACCCAGACTTCTTGTTAAGAAGATGGCGTCAATTGCGTTCATGACATTTTGCATTCATTGAAAAGTAAGAATGATAAATAAATCTATATGAAACAGTCCCTTAAAAATGACATTGCGCCTTTAGTTTTGAGTATGTATTAATGTAATGTATTAATTATGTCAATGGACCCCATAGTTATGTCAATGGGCTATCCATGATATAAGGGTTTATTTTCCTTACATTGCAGGTGTGCAAATTAGCCATGTTTATGCACGTAATGAAACTCTCCTTTTTATACAATCACTTTCCACACTTAACAGTCCAACCTCAACACAGCTGAAAAAGCACAATTTCAAGTCATTTTTTTTAAATCAGAGTTACCAGTATAACAGAAGGGTATCCTGACATGTTAATTCTTGCTCAATACTGTACAATTTTCTAAAAATTACTGAAATCAAACTTTTACATTACCCACTTTTACAGAACTTTTTTATGTTATATAGAGGTATCAGAATGTCACAAAGCGGCGCTTAGAAAATTCACTAGATAAAACAAGCACAAGCAGTTGATACCTTTTCCATCTTACCCACATTATCCTCCAAAACACATTGTTTTGACAAATAGCTTTCCATCATTCGAGAGTCTGTTAATGTTTGATGGTTGTATCTATATGGTTTGTTTTTGATGTGTCTTATTGTAATTCAAATTGTCTTTCTCTCCCTTGTGTTTTTTTTCTCCCACTTTCTCTTTTCTGTAGTCATGCCAGGCTGATCTTGTAAAAGATAATGGACACAAGTATTTCTTGTCAGTGCTGGCTGATCCGTTCATGCCAGTGAGTATCTTACAGATGACACTGAATCATTTTCTACTTTGTTCAAACCTAAATATATTTATTTACTTGATTAAGTTTCCCATATTTACACTGGTCAAACCACATTTTAATTTTTGTTTGAAAAATTGCTGTTCTTTTCATCAATAAAATAAAGCACTAAATTCTCAGAATCATAGAATAATGTAAATTGTTAATTTAATAATTTTATTTTAACATTTTGGGCTCTGTACACCAACCCAGTCGATTTTAAATGAAACAAACAAGATGTGCTTTTTACTGCAGACTGTCAGCTTTAATTTGAGGGTATTTACATGAAAAAATCTGGTGAATGCTGTAGGAAATTACAACAAATTGCATATGTTCCTCCCACCAGTAAAGGGTCTAAAAGTAATTGGACAGAATAATGATCATAAATCAAACTTTTACTTTTTAATACTTGGTTGCAAATCCTTTGCCGTCAATTTCAGTCTGAAGTCTGGAGACATCCCCAAATGGTTTCATTCCTGGTGTTGCTCTGTCAGGCCTCTATATCAACTGTCTTCAGTTCCTGCTTGTACTTGGTGCATATTCCCTTTAGTTTTGTCTTCAGCTAGTAAAATGCTAGCTCAATTGGATTCAGGTCACATGATTGACTTGGCCATCCCATGACATTCTACCTCTTTTCCTTTAACAACACTTTGGTTGATTTGCAGTATGCTTTAGGTCATTCTCTATCTGCACTGTGAAGCAAGTTCTGAAGTATTTGATTTAAGATGATCGGAAGATATTGTCCGAAACACTTCAGAATTCATCCTGCTGCTTTTGTCAGCAGTCACATTATCAATAATTACAAGAGAACCTCGAATTGACAGCCATGCATGCCCATGCCATGACACTACTACCACCATGCTTGACTGCTTAGGATCATGAGCCGTTCCTTACCTTTAGCATACTCTTTATTTCCCATCACTCTGGTACAAGTTGGTCTTGATCTAATCTAGCACTGTGACGGCTTTTTTAGAACACTAATCTATCCTTCCTGTTTTTGAGGCTCATCAATAGTTTACATCTTGGAGAGAACCCTCTGTATTCACTCTGGTGTGGTTTCGCTTGATTGTTGACTTTGACACACATACATCTACCTCCTGGAGACTGTTCTTGATCGGGCCAATCTGGCCAACTGTTGCAAAAGGTGTTTTCTTCACCAGTGAAAGAATTCTTTGGTCATTCACCACAGTTGTTTTCCGTGGTCTTCCGTTTTTTTTGGTATAGCTGAGCTCACTGGTGTGTTCTATCTATTTAAGAATGTTTCTAACAGTTGTTTTGCCACACCTAATGTTTTTGCTATTTCTCTGATGTTTTTTTTTTTTTTTTTTTTCAGCCTAATGATAGCTTGCTTGACTGATAGTGACAGCTCTCTGGATCTCATCTTGAGAGCTGACAGTAACAGATTCCAAATGCAAATAGCACACTTGAAATTAAGTCTGAGCCTTTTGTCTGCTCATTGTAATGGATAATAGGAAAATGAGGGAATAACAGACATCTGGCAATGGAATTGCTTGGGAGCCAATTGCCCAATTACTTTTGAGCCCTTAACAAGTGGGAGGCACATATGCAAACTGTTGTAATTCCTACAGCATTTACCTTATTTGGATGTAAATACCCCCAAATTTAAGCTGACAGTCTGTAGTTAAAGAACATCTTGATGGTTTCATTTAAAATTGGTTATACAACCAAAAATGTTTATAGGATTTATGGTCCTATTTTTATGGACCTAACTGGACCCTATATATATATATATATATTTTTTTTTTTTGTTCCAGGCTGAGCATCGAACTATGGCTGTCTTCATTCTTGCTGTCATTGTTAATAACTATAACACAGGACAGGTATGAAAACCACAAGCAGAAAGAAAATATTTGCACTCAGCATAAGCCAAAATATTGGTTGCGAAAACTAATAATTTGCATCACAATAAAGGATGTTTGCTTCACCCATGATTTGTCATAATGTTTTGGTTCTTCATAAATATCTAGAATTTAAATAATACTTTTCATATGTCCTCTCTCTTCATTAGGAGGCATGTCTGCAGGGTAACCTGATTGCAATCTGTCTGGAACAGCTCAATGACCCTCACCCTCTCCTGAGGCAATGGGTTGCAATATGTCTTGGACGAATTTGGCAGAACTATGATTCTGCTCGCTGGTGCGGAGTTCGAGATAGTGCACATGAAAAACTCTACAGTCTCCTGTCGGATTCTATACCAGAGGTTCTGAAAGTTGTCTAGTCAAATGTTTTTGTAGTTTTATAAAATATAGTAATAGGTTTTCTATTGCAAATCCAATAAATAAAATATTAAGCCACTATAATTAGTAATGCACTTAAATGCTTTAGGGCAGTGGTCACCGAACCTGTCGATTGCAGTGGTAGATCTTTATTGCTCTCCTGGTAGATCCTAAAAATTACTGGACAAAAAGTACAATATGTCTTCATTTATTGTACTTGATCAAACTGCTGTTTTTATTTTTTATTATTGTTAACCGGCCTAAACTTCATATAGTGATGACACCCTGCAACTTGAGATATGTTAGCCCGAAAAGTAGTCTTAACAGCTGAGCTCAGCTGTAAAAACTATAGCATTTCTTGCCTGGAACGGCAGAAGGAATTTTGTTTGTTTGTTGAATTGCAGGTCGGCTCCTCGTCACCAGTGGCAGTGTCAAGTGTCATATCTAGTTACACCTCTACTGGCATGCTGGCTCAGGGAAAGCAGCAGCATAGAGAGACACTGCAGAAACTGCAGTTACAGGGGTTTGACAGATAAATATGAATTTGTAGCTAAATTTTTAACAATGCGAAACGGCATTACTAGTTGTTTAAGTTCTTGTTTATGTCCTTCTACAACATACCGTTAATGCTAGAAACTACTATTGTAATAGATCAATTTTAACTAATTAAAATACTTACAGGTTGTGGCTCACATTCCCCAGCTTCTTCTATTTTGGTTGGAGCTGCTCCTTCTTTGAGGAGTTTTTAGCCAAACACAGCACCGAACTGGGAAAGATTGTGGAAGCTGTTTTTTGTCAAATTCTAGGGCTATATCTTTTTTATATATATATATATAATTTTCTAGACAGATATCAAAATTAAATTGTAAGCAGTTTTCTATTTGTGTCATGTCCTTTGCAAGCCCAAATTCAGAAACAGTAAGCTCTGTGAAAATAGCAGTGTTTGGGTGGCATTTTAGCTTTCTCTGATATAACATACAGTAACATCACCTCTGGCCATGCCCCTTCGCTGCGCGGGGTGTATGTGCATGGTGTATGCACGTAAACTGAAGGGTTTGTAATCGCATTAACCTAGATGTATTTTTTTGTATTCCCTTAACTTTTTTCGCTGTAAGCTTTGCTAAGCTAACTTTGTCAAAGCCTATGGGCAATTTCAGACAAACACAACCTTAATTTTTCTGTTTTTCACCATGTTGTTTAAAAATCACATCCATTTGCGCCACTTTGTAGACTCATGGGTGTTCTGATCTAGAAAAGAGGTGTGTTAAGGCGTATTGTTTACCGGTTGCTATTTTGAGGAACGAAAACTGTGAGACTGTGCAATAGACATGCTGAATGCAGGTCTAAAGCTAAGTGCAGATTGCGTTAGTTGTGCGCCTCACTTACACATTGTTTAATGCACACATGATGCACAGCAATATGCAAATACCTTTACAAATAAAAAATTATTAAAAGATTTCAATATTTTTTTTAAATTATTACTTTCTACGTAAATATAAAAACCACTGCCTTAATGCCTTCTTCATCTTGGGGGGCTTTTTTAGTTTATTCATGACAATTTACTTTTGTATAATGTTATTATTATTATAAGTAGTATTTATTATATACGTGTTTAAATTAGTTTTATTATAAACAAGTTAAGATTTGCATAGCTTGTGTATTTGGATATAATAATTTTTACCACACTTCGTTATTATTGTTTATCATCAAAATAGAGCCGTTTATCTCCCTTTCCATCAAACTTTGAGTATATTACATTCAGAAATGTTGTTTATGTTCACACAGCTACATTACACATGAACTAAAGCTTAAAATAAGATATTGTAGTGGAGGAACCCTTTTTTAGGGGTCAAGCACCAAAGGTGCGTAGACACCTCTTGTATCCATTGTATCTTGTATTAGTTCCTATTATTATTCTTCTGGCTTCTTCTTCTGCTGCTCTGGGAGTCTATGACAGTCCTATGAACCGTTTCTGGCATTTGTGAAAACTTTGGCACACTGATAGAGGACAGTCTGATCTTCAACCATAACATATTTGGACTATCTAACCTAAACTCCTTAGCGCCACCACTTCATTTATCAAAGTTTCACTTATGTTTATTTTTATAACATTTGAACCGAATGGGCTGCAATCAAAATTCTTCCTCTTCCAGCTATTTTTTTTCCTAGAACGTTTGTCTGATTATAAACAAAATTAAAACACATAATCTACAGACCATGATGACCAAAATTTATGGAATTTAAGTTGATTAGATGAACCGTTTTTAATAAACTTGCAGACAAATGTAACATAGAGCATGCAAAAATTAACTTAAGGTGTTATCTCTGTAACGCATTGACGTATTCACACCAGACTTGGTGTGTTATCATAACCATGTTCTGTAGTTAGCTGCTTTTTCTCAACACACTACCCCCTAGTTGGCCAGAGATTAAAAAAAAAAATTACATTTTTTTTGGTTATAACTTCTCAAATATTTGTCCAAAATCCATAACATTATCTTTACATTCGGTGTAGCACGCCAAGTTAAAGGATGTCTGATTTTCCCAAGACAGCATTTTTTTGGCCGTCAGACCATTTTGAATTATGTCAAAAATTGCTATATTTTGAATGGATTAGCAAATTGTTAAGAAAGCCAGTATGTGTCTTCGGAACTGTGTCCTTAAGATGCTCGAAAAGTTTTTTTCACAGCGCCACCTTTTGGTCAAACGTTATAATGATATTTCTAAAAATGCTAATAACATTTGACTATTTTTTCCTATTGTTATGGAGCTTGTCTTGATACATTTCTTGGCTTGTCTTGAGAATATTGATACCAATTATGCCTTAATTAACTAAACTGCCTGTCCACCATCTAGCCTTAAGTCAAAAAACGACTTTTTCAAACTTCTCCTGCATCATTTGGCTGATTTGCACCAAATTTGGCTTAGATCAAAAGGTATAGAATTTGTGTTAATAGGTGTAATGACTTTTGAGATGACAAATGTGATGGCATGATGCCAAACTACATCTGAGGCTGTAACTGTTATATTTAAAGATAATGACACCAAATTTTAGGTGTGTCATTGTCATCTTACACTGACCACACCATAAAACAATTGGTAATAACTTTTGACTGCATATGCTTATTTTGATGATATTGGTCTCAAATTATTCCTTTGGTTATGCCGACAACACAGAACCTAATTATGCCATAATCTACCAAACCTACTGTACGCCATTTGGATTTTGTTAAAACCATTATTTTTTAACTGCTCCTAAACCAGATTTTTCATCAAATCTGACTCGGACCATGTAGACCAAAGTTATGGAATTCATGTTGATCGACCAAATTGTTGTCATTTACCATATGTGCAAAATTGGTGTAATGCTTCCAGTTAACATTACAGCTTGAATCACTGCAATGGTTTGAATGATTGAAACCAAACCTAATGTGTGTGATCTATATTAAATTCTATCAATAGAAATCATATAAAATGTATCTAATGGCTTTTGAATAGTTTTGTCAATTTTTATGTGACTGGTCTTGCAGATTCCTTGGATATTACAGAGAACATTGATAATATGTATTTCCTTTATTGACAAAACTTCATTTACACTATCTTGAATTAGTTTAAAAATCTATTGTTTTGAACTCAAAAAAGTTGCACTCAAAAAGGTTTCAGATTGGTTATATCGTTCATGTCTTACCCTTAATGTAAGTAAAACTGTGGGAATGTTTTTTTTTCAATTAAGAAAAATGAGGAGCATTGCTCAGATATTTTAGTTAATGGAGAAGTAATAAATATTGTTGATCATTTTAAATATTTAGGTATAATTATTGACTCCAATTTAAATTTTAAAAAACACATTAAGAAGGTTTCCAAAAGTGCTAGAGCAAGCCTGAGGATCTATAGAAACATTAGGCATCAGTTACCTATGGCTGCTGCTAAACTTTTTATGAATACAATGATTTTACCTCATTTATCTTATTGTGCTACAAGCTCTTCGCATACGAACATTACAACATTAAAACCATTGTATGTTATATATAAACAAACTGTTAAAATTTTAGCTAAAAAGCCAAGGAGCTATCATCATTGCAACTGTATTGCACAACAAAAATTACTAACATTTGACAGTTTCTTATTTTATGCTGATGTGTGTTTAATGTATAAAATATTTCATGGTCTTGCACCACCACCCCTCAAACAATGTGTGATTGTCGGCAAGGACAATATAAGACAGACTAGGTCATCTGTTTGAGGTGATTGTTCAGTTAAACTTAAGAGAACTGCTTTTGGACAATCTGTTTTTTCAGTTAAAGCAGCAGAAAGATGGAATAAAATACCAGTGTATATCAGAGAGAGCAGCACTTTTAATAATTTTAAAACTGTTCTTAAAATCTGGCTAAAACAAAATCAAATATGCAGCCACTGATTTGATTTCATTTTATTGACAATGATGTGTTGTATTTATTGTACTGTAAGTGTATATTGTATTTGTTATAAGTGTTAAATTTGTTACTTCCTGCCCAGGGACTACAGATGTAAATTAGCTTTATAGCTAACTCTGGAACAACATGTCATGTTGTACATTGTCCCTGTATAAATAAATAAAGTAAATAAAATAAAAATAAAACCCTCCATAGATCGTTAACCCATTTTTCACCAAATCTGGCTCCAAAATGCTTTCACCATGCTGCCAAAAAATTATAGAATTTTTCTATTGCTCTGTAGGTTGTTGCCTTGCTTGTTTATGATGTGGCCGCTGGGCTGCTTGCAGCTTTATTTATTATTATCAGTAGTATTAGTATTTATAACTTGCTAATTTAGTACATGCTTTATATTTGAAAACAATAATTTTACCAGTCTATTTTTTTGTTTACAGTTGCAATTTACATGATCTGATTACTGCTAATGTGACAGTGCATTATACCCAAATATTCACCCCATTCAAATGTGATGTCTTCATTTGAGATGTCATCACATGCAATCATTGCTTCATTTTTATCAGATTGTAATGTGTAGATTTTGCCATTTTCAAGGATTAGGGATCTTGGACTTAAAAATATGGGTTACAGTGACCACTGCATCAGGGAATGTATTAAATATGATACTTTTATGTTTTGGCACTTGGGAATATCAGTTACCTATACGTAGTTGGCTTAATTTGGATAGCAAAAAATATATTTATTTTTGTTATTTTCATGCTTATTTATGCCTATTACAATACATACTGAATGAGCATGTGCTACATTTGCTTTTGAGTCTATTGCTCTATTACATATATAGGCTTTTTTAAAATCTAAATTATGCATGTTTTGAGTGAACAATAAGCAATCAAATCTTTTTTTACATCTCCCTGCCTCCCAACCATCTTGTCTTTCTTCACTCCCTTCCTTCCCTCTCAACCCTTCGTCTCCCCCCCAACCCCTCCCCCCATTTTTATTGTCAAGTAATATTAGTATGTCTGCATTACTTTCTTTGCTAAAGACATCCTAAAGACAAACAAAGTATGCAAGTAAGAAATGCATGCTCATAAAAACTTAAGGAGGCTTCAAAATATTAACTTAAAACTGAGTACTACCTAGTTACCGTAGAAGCACCATAGTTTAATGATCATTATCATTACTGTTGTTTGGTTGGTTAAATAATGGTTTGTGTTGGTCTCATTGGCAGGTACGATGTGCAGCTGTGTTTGCACTGGGCACATTTGTGGGGAATTCAGCTGAGAGAACAGATCATTCTACCACCATTGATCATAATGTGGCCATGATGCTTGCACAACTGATTAATGATGGCAGTCCCATTGTGAGGAAGGCAAGTTATTATTATTATTATTATTATTATTAGTATTATAATTATTATTATTATTATTATATTCTGTATGCACTTAAAATTTATTTTGAACAGTTTAGTATTGAAATTGTCAAAATATATATTTCAAGTAACAAAAAAAGTGATATTGTGGGGTACAAAACTTGATTTGAACTATGATGATTTGAAGTTCTGTTAATATTTTATAAACAAAATAAACAGTTTCTCCTTTTTTAATGCATATTTAAGGTTTGTACTGTATGATTTTGTACTTATTCTAGCCTTTTTAAAATATGTTTTAATTTAATTTAAAATAATAAAAGACTTGTGTGAAGTCACATTCACACAACCAATTTATCGTACTGGCCGCAGTTCCAGTTCAAGGTCAAATTATATCTGTCAAATAAGTAATATTTAAAATGTAAACATAATTTTAGAGTTTCTTGGAATTTTTTTCGGTCAAGTCATATAAAATGATTTAGGCAGCACATTCAAATTTCACATGATGCCCGGTGCTCTGGCTCCCGACAGATATTTGACTATGGTGGCTGGTGTCTCCATTTGCACATTCTGTACTATAGAGTCACCAATTACCAGGTAACTTTATCAGGTTTCTCAGTGGGCGCACCACTAAGGAGGCTAAACATGTTTGATGTTGGAATATATATATGGGCTTTACATTAACACCCGCCAAATGCGGGTAGATTTCAGCTTTGGCGGTTTAGACAGACAACCCCACTAGCCACTTTGGCTGGTTGAAAATAATTTTTAAATTGTAGTTTTCCTAAAAGCAGGGTTTGACAATATAAGGATGGCCCAATATGCGTGCAAATGTGATCTTAGAATCGAGGAGTAAAATAATTGTGATCACGCGAGCAGAAGAAAGCAAATGAATACCGAAGGAGAAGATGATGATCACTCGCGCTAACAGCTGATGTGATGCTCGCGACTGCTTAAAACACCTGCGCGCGACTGCTTAACGCGTGCGCGCTCCCGAATCGTGAAGCAACCGTGTCTGGAACAGGTTCTGGAAACGCAACTGTCATTGGTTCTCTTTTAAATAAACTACACAAAAAGTAATGAACATGCACCCGCAGTCCTGATGCTTTTAAGAGCTCAAAATGTGTCTTTTCTTAAGCAGCGCAGGTTGCTTTCTCTTTGAACAGATTATTAAATGGCCTAAAGTTAACCGTGAGCATGTGATCATTCTTTTATTATCGCATTCATACATTGTTTCACCTGCTCTCATTTGCTTACGGTTTTATTTGCTTTTAATTTTTGTTAAAATGGTTTAATTATTAGTATTTTTTTTACAACATTGCTTTATGTTAGATGAACTCTCCATTTATGTGCAGTTAACTGGTAATCCGAGAGATCTTTAGCCACGACAGATTACTGTGCATGTTTTTGATACGTGGCAATAGTTATTTTTTAAAAGTCAATTGCTTTCTTTTTTAAGAAATGTTTTGTTAAATAAAAAGTATAGTATACAGCTATATTTTGCTTGTTTTGACACATTAAAAATTTGTTTCTAAGAAATAATTATTGTTTTGTGTGATTATAGAGATAAATTTGGTACATCGTTAATTTTGAGCTCTAAAAAAGTCATGTGAAATAAAAACTAATTGCAATATAACACTGTGAAAACATGACCCATTTGCTTGTGCTCATTAAGCAAACTCGTACTCGACACACAAAAAGTGAAATGAATGAGGACGCATGTGGACATAACACAAAATTTAAATCAAGTAATTTTAGCATGTCAACGTCAAATTTATGCATATAAAATATATTTTACTAACAACAAAATTATAGCTAGTAAAAATGCAGAGTGGCTAATAACAATGGAAAACTACTAGCCACAGTGGCCGGTGATTAAAAAAGTTAATGTAAAGCCCTGTATATATATATATATATATATATATATATATATATATATATATATATATATATATAAATAAATAACGCAAGTACTCACAACCGTCCTCCTATGGCAAACTTAATTAAAATAATTTTATTATCTTTATCTGAAAACAAGACAATATCTGGATGAAGAGCTGTGTAAACCACATCTGGGAACTGAAGTTTTTTTCGAACTTTGACTCTCAACTCCCAAGAGCTGTGGCTTGCATCAAGCTTGACTTTGCTACTGTCCTAGATGCGACAGGCTTTGCCCCTTCCTTAATAAAGCTGAAGATTTTTTTATCTGAACTTCTTCTTGAGCCTCTTTACAATTGAATCAGCAAGGGTCAATTAAGATACCCTCTCAATGGATATGGCACCTTGTCATATTGCCACCTATATCAACCCTGGGTTAAAGATGTTTTACTCCCGGACAATATGTGTGCCAGTGTTTCCTTTTGGCCTCAGAGCTTGCAGTATGGGTCATCTCTCAATCCCCAGAAGTACAAATAAGATGGTGAAGGAAGGGTGTCATACACAGTGCAACAAGATGGAGATGTGGTATGGCTCCAGTCTTTATAACTCTGCCCATGTGATCTTCCACTTAAGCAGATACCACTTTGTCCATGCTCCCTGGGATGCTTGTTCCACTGCTCTAGAAATAGGTCTCTGTTAATCTTGAGCTCTAATTTATGCGTGCACTATACCTCGTTTGAACGCAGTGGTCAGAAACTTGAAAGTAACTCATTAAAGAATAAAGTTACCAAGCACACCATTGTTTTTCTTGTGAAATTCTCAATAAGTTTGATGTGTCAAATGACCCTCTTCCTATTAAAAAACAAAAGCTGGATCCAAGATGGCCGACTTCAAAATGGCCACTATGGTCACCACCCATCTTGAAAAGTTTGCCCCCTCACATATACTTATATGCCACAAACTGGACGTTAATATCACTAACCAATCCTATTTCATTATGGTGTATCCATATAAACAAATGACCCACCCTGTATACTGATTTTGAATGTAAATCTATGAAGATAACACTTTGTGGCAAACAGGAATTTGAATAGTGTCCTGATTGCCAAGAATGTGCATGAAATCTGCAGCAATTTAAAATGAAATTGCGAACTTCACAACATAATGCAACATTTGCTTTATTTTGCATTAAATTCAGTAACCGTGAATACTAAATAAGTTCTACTAAGTAAGGTATTTTAGGTTTACAAAAATGTAGAGAGAGCCATTTAGTGGATTTGTCTTCTGAAACTTTCAATGAAATGGTCCTGGAGCAGCATATTTGTTTTGCAAAAAAGAAGCCTAAAGCACGTATTTCCAATAAGCCTGGTTTGGACATTTTACTATTAGGCCTTCCAAGGCAATGGCAATACTTTCTTATACTTTCATACACTGTAAATACACTGACAGTGCCATAGACAATCTTTACAAACTCTTAACTTAATGTTAAACAAAACACTAAACTGAAAAGCATACATTAAACCAAAACTTGTTCATTTATTTGCAAATAAGAAATGAATGGTCAAATATAAGTTATGTGTTAAATGAATAGTGTATTCATTTATTTATTTTTAAAAAAACAGAATTAAAAAAATGTGTCTCAGTATACTCAAAGCTTTACCAAATTTGATCTGTAAAAACTAAGGGCTGTAATTTTAACAGTAATTAACTGTAAAAATGATACAGTAAAAATCTTTAATCTGGTAACAGTAGGCTTTCTTAATATATGGGGAAAAAAAGAAAAATTCACTTTCTCAGAATTCCCTACATGACACTTAAATTGTTATAGTTAGTTATGTACATTACAGTTTAATGTTACATCTAATTTGAAAAGATAATGTTTTTTGCATTACTTAAATTTTTTTATGTATTACCAGTATGGAGTTTAAAAGTTGTGAGAACGACACTGCTGTGGAGCTCTCCAGTGTTTGCACTGTTTTTGTTAGTTTGTCCTGTTTTATGTTTTTCAAACACGATCAGTTACATCAGGGACGAGCTGCTGACAATTCGGCATTGTACACCAACTAATCAAAAAGTGGATTTTGATTTCTCTGGCGTTTTGCGGAATATTATCGTTGACGGAGCAGCTGCACTAAGGAAATGCTACTAGACGCACAAGCAAGGGTAGCGAGTCAGCGCACTCATCAGGCTGAGACAGCGCCGCTTCAGAACTGCACTGCCCAGCATCCATCTGGGGACTCTCCGCTCTCTTCCTAACAAAATGGACTACTTTTGCTCACATGCATAAACAAGAACTTTAACAACTCTGCTGCGCTGTGTTTCACGGAAACCTGGCTAAATGAAGCCATTCCGGACAGTGCATTACACCTACAGGACCTTCAGCTGTACAGAGCAGATCGCCATACGGAGTCAACAGGCAAAACGCACAGAGGTGGGACATGCTTTTACATCATCAGAAGGTGGTGTATGGATGTAACTGTGTTAAAGAAGATGTGCTGTCCTAATGTGGAAGTGCTTTTCATTAACAGTAAGCCATTTATTCACCGCAACAGTTTTCCTCGTTCAGTCTCGTCTGTGTTTATATTCCATCGCAAGCACATGTAAGTACTGCGCTGCAACAGCTGGCTGATTTGGTCACAGAGACAGAACAACAACACCCGGACTCTGTTTTAATCATTCTTGGTGACTTTAATCAGGCAAAACTCACACATGAGCTGCCTAAATTCAAACAGCACATTACATGCCCCACAAGAGACAATAACATTTTGGACCATTGCTACGCCACAATAAAGGATGCATATCGCTCCATCGCCAGAGCAGGTCTAGGACTCTCCGACCACTGCCTGGTTCATCTTATACCAACTTACAGGCAAAAACTTAAAACTAGTAAGCTAGTATTAAGGACTGTTAAGAGATGGACCAATAACACAGAGCAGGTCTTAAAAGCCTGTTTTGAGTGCACTGACTGGAGTGTTTTTGAAGCTGCAGCCACAGACCTGGACGAGCTCACAAAGACTGTAACATCATACATCAGTTTCTGTAAGGAGTTATGCATCCCTACCAGGACCTACTTATCATTTAACAACGATAAACCAGGGTTCACATCAAAACTCAGACTTAGCTTTGTCAGGCCAAAGAGGATGCCTACAGGAGTGGGGACAGAATCATGCACAATCAGGCCAGGAACTGACAAAGGAGATTGGTGTGGTTACGAAGAGCTATGCCAATAAGCTGCTAAACCAGTTTTCTGCCAATGACCCTGCATCAGTGTGGAGAGGCTTAAAAGATTTTACTTATTGCAAGACACCATCTCCCAGCATCGACAGTGTTACGACTTCTAAGTTTTGGTATCTAGGGTTTAAAAGGTAACATTTAAGGTGATAATATTTTGTGGTCAGTTGGTGGCAAAATATCAACACGACCACCAAAATACTGCAAAAATAAGTGAATTTATTTACAATAGTGAAAGGAAGTCAAAAAGCTATAAAGTATTATTTACAAGATCTCACAACATACAATAAATCAATCAATATAGATTAAAGATGGTGGGGGAAACGAGAGTTAAGTGGCGCCAAACAAATGAAAGAAATATAACAAAAACCCCAATTCTAACTAATAATTACCCTCTAAACTGTCTAATACAAAATAAACAAACAAAACATCTTCAGCGTTTTCACGCTATAACTAATCTACTCTTCTAACCAAATATACGGAGAAAACTTACAGCGGGTGGCGCTCACTTCTAAACTAGTGTGTTTAGACAGTGGAGTTATCTGCGTGATGTAATATGTATGTCACGTGACATCTAAACTCCTCGAATCCAAGAGACAGGCTGAAGACAGACGTCAGGGGATTGTCACATATACACATCCAAGACGGTAACAGCAATCAACACAAGAACAAGACCAAAATCAAAACTAAGTTCACGTCAACATCACAGCACATAACAACAAGCCAAAAACACACACAAAGGCAAGCAAAGACCGCAAGCAAGGCAGAGCAAAAGCAGAACGAGCTTCCCCGCTCGCATCCCTTTTAAACTTTGAGCTCCTGTGCTGATTGGTTGTGAAGGTGATGACGTCACAAGGTATAATTGAGATTGACGTCTTCACGGACGAATGGGATACTGGAATGGGCGAACCTGAGAACTGACAGAGAGAGGAGGAGGGAGCAAGCGAGAGAGGGAGAGAAAGAGAGCGCACACACACAAGCAAAACAAACAGGCATATACATATGACTGTAACAACAGCAATAAACATCTTGCAAACGAGCTGAATATGTTCTACTGTAGATTTGACACCTTCAGTAAACAGATAGGAAGGAAAGCACCAAGCCCAGATGGTGTTTCACCAGCCTGTCTGAGAACCTGCTCTGACCAGCTTGCTCTTATTTTCTCAAAGATCTTCAACAGATTACTGCAACAGCCCAAAGTTCCATCCTGCTTTAAGCACTCCACTATCATCCCAATCCCGAAGAAGCCAAAGATCACAGGACTCAATGACTACAGACCTGTTGCCTTAACATCTGTGGCCATGAAGTCATTCGAAAGACTGGTGCTAGCATATCTGAAGGACATCACTGGCACCACCCTTCCTACTCTTCAAGAAATTTACTCTTCCAGATTGAGTAAAGGGGCTCGCAAAATCACGCTAGACGCCTCACACTTCAGAGCACCAAGCACAAAAACAGCCAGACACAGCAAAAGTTTCTTTCCTCAGGCCATCTACCTTACGAACAGTTAAAAATTCCCCAACTGTGCAATAAATATGTGCTATACTTTATCATACGCTCTTGTACAAAGCACCTTTTATCAATATACAATGCAATGCTTTCTCTATACGCTTTTGTACACAGCACCGTACAACCTGTATATTTATAACAAATCTGTACATACAATTCAACATCCAGATTTCTTGACTAATTGCATCTCTGTTTAATGTTTATCATCTTTTTTTCATATTTATGTTATGTTGCTACTTGTCACTTTATGGACACTGGACGCTTCTGTAGCCAAAACAAGTTCCTTGTGTGCGTGTGTAAAGCACACTTGACAATAAAACTGATTCTGATTCTGATTTTAGAATGTTCTTTTTTTAAGTTCCTGTTTTACATGTTATAGTACATAAATTAACATCATTACCTCACCACACTAATGTTTTTTTCCGAAGTTTCCAGTAATTCTGGGTGGTATATTTTAATTTTTATTTTTTTTTACTTCAACAGCAGTTATGCAGTTTCACTTACATTCAGCAACATTTCATTCATGCCCTGTAACGAACTCTGATGTACTGGATGAATGTCACAGTACATCTTATGTAGGCCCCGACAGAATCTACGTATGTTGATTGCTATTTCTGCTGAGAATTTTGGGAAACATCTGCGGATTTCTGTGGAATTATTTTGGGAGTATCATAACTAAAACCATAATATGTAAAATAAAAAAATAATATCTTTTAAACTTGTATTTATGTTTAAAATGTGGATCTAATTAGATTAACTTTATTTGGTAAACAAAGCAAGACTCTCCTATAATATATCAACTAAAAGACAGAAAATATTACTTTAGAAACTGTATTTTAAATAAATCAAATGAACATTTACATATTAGTCCATATGTGGTTGGGTAACATTTCTGAAGTTAATTAAAAAACTTAATAAATATAGATTTACACACATTTACTCAAGTAAATAGTTTGAATTAATGATGGGCTAAAAATCTGCGGAATTCTTCCGTGTGGGCCTAATCATATGGTAAAATACTGTAGTATCTACAGTAGAAAATACCACCATATCTTTAAGGTAAAAAAAAGTTGTTTTTTTTTTTTTTTTTTTTTTTGCAGTGTATGAATCAGATTTAAGATAACATAAATGAACCAAAGAATATGAGCTCTATTAACTTTTTTCAACCTTTCTTTTAAAATCTTTAGGAGCTGGTTGTTGCTCTAAGTCACTTAGTGGTCCAGTATGAGAGTAATTTTTGCACTGTGGCTCTGCAGTTCATGGAGGAAGAGAAGAATTACGCTGTGCCTTCACCTGCCAATTCCACAGGTAATTATTTATAACTGTGTTTGGTAGACAGCTTTACAAATTCTAACTTTTTTTTTTTGCATTATGCTAATTTATATCAGTGAGAACTGTGTAGATGCTAAAATTATGGTTAAATTTTCAACTTGTTGAATTTGCCGAGTATAACTGGTTGGTCAGGTATTCAGCACGAAATTAACAACTTTTTTGTTGTTGTTGGTGGTGCATAGAAACAGGAAACATTACTCCAAGTAGGGACAGTCCTGCCATTCCTCGTTTAAGATCAGTGAACTCCTACACAAACCTCAGAGCTGCCACCACTGCTCGAACCCTTAATAAGAGCCTTCAGAACCTCAACCTAAATGAGGAGGGTAAGTCAAATACCACTCTGCATCACTAAGCATAAAATCCCTGTAATTGTAATGTCATTACAAGAGAGCTTGGGTCCCTATTTGCATGCTATCTGACCCACAGCATAAATCTGTATATTCTTGCCCACAAAGTTAAATATACTTTGTGCTCAGTTGTCTGTTCTTCATACATGGATTACTCAATTAGCTGGATTTGATTATTGATTATTTGACATGATCCAGGAAAGTGTTGTTCTTTAAAACTCATCCAAGAATTGTTGTCATAGCAAAAGGTATGGTATCTCAATCCTTTTCAGGAGCAGGCTTTTTTATGAAAGTAAATCAGTTGCGAAACTCGAGAGCTTGCAAATGTAAATGTGAGCACTTGTGATAATAATATTTGTATGTGTAGGTTGAAATGTACACTTACAGCTCTGATGTGAACAGCTGAAATCCTCGATTTGCACACACACACAACAATCCACACACTTGTGTTTTAAATTCGAAGTTGCAGATTAATAGTTGTGTATTTGTAAAATGTCATTCACAAATACAAAGTGACAGACACACGTGTGCACGGCAAATTTGACTGCATCTTCGCTCTACAACCACAGGTCGGCACTCACAACCTCTCAGATTCGTCAGTACAACTACAAATCTCCCGCGCTCTGACTTTTGCTACACATCTCCCGCGATCTCTGTAGCAGAACTCATCTGTGCACTCGCAGATGCAGAGGCGTGAGCAGCGCTGGGCAGGGGAGGGGCGGGGCTGGTGTAAAGCTGTTTGATTGGCTGATGCCTGACCAATGAACAATGCCAGCAGCCAACAGGACTGAGGTGCAAAATAATCATTTCCCACGATTATTTTATTATTTAGGGTTTATTTAAACTCTTTTCTGAAGAGATTCTTGTTAAAAATAATAAATTCTGTGGAAATGTACATACCAGTAAAAGAGCAGCAAAGCCAGTTTATTGGCTAGAGCCAGCCAATGAGATGGGGCGTTTCTGTTTGTCAGGACACAGGGCAGCTCACGTTGTTGGAGGCCTCGAGCAATCAGAGGGTAAGTTATGATTTTTAATAATTATCTATATGTTCAATACTGTTAGCTAAGCTAAGGACTGTGCTGGGTGCTTCTCTTGTTTGTTTTTTATATAAGAAACAGTTATGAGTTATCTAGGAGCTGCTTTCAATCATGTTATATGGTTCTAAAGATACGATTCAACCCACATGAAATAAGAAGTTGTAATAGTATTTATAGTAAATAATAGTACGTTTTTTAACCATACTAACTATAGTAAACTGTATTATACAGTATATATTGCAGTATCTACAACTTTGTTAATGAATGCAACAGCACACTGTAGTATTAACTAGCATGAACTTTAATAAATTGAAGTATACTTTTATGTATGTGAGTATATATATATATATATATATATATATATATATATATATATATATATATATATATATATAGCTTAAATTTGAAAAAAATGAAATATAGCTATCTGTTTAAAACTAAACATTCTAATGCCATTTATTATGCAAATATCAAGTTGAAACAAATCTGTTAAGAACACATATTTATATGTAAAACCTAATACATTTTAAAGCAGTTTCATTTCTTTCTAATTTTTACATCTACATGCATTACATCTGATTTAGGTCCACAACTTGCATCCTTCAACATGATATGTGTGTTCAAAGGAAGAGCAACTAGGTGAGGGAGACAGTGTCCATCGCTCGGCTGAGGGTCCACTTTGAGCATCTCATCTGCAGGGTTAAGCAACATAAGCTGAACAGTCATCATCTCTCTCTATTACAGCGAGCATCAACCAGCTTTACACAATGGCTTGCTTTCTGACCATTAGTTAAGGCTTGAGCAAAGTATTAAAGAGGAGATAACATTTGATGGGTAATGATGAAGTTGGATTTACCACCTCCATCTCATTATGAACAAGGAAAAACCCTGAAATATTTCAATACAAGTAACTAGACATTTGCACTGCACTTATTTGGACTGTAAATTTTATTTGACAAATTACATTCCCTTACAGAATAGGTGTCAAACTCAGTTCCTGGAGGGCTGCAGCTTTGCAAAGTTTAGTTCTAACCCTAATTAAACACACCTGATCAAACTAATTGAGTCCTTCAGGTTTGTTTGAAACTTTCACTTAAGTGTGTTGAAGCAGGGTTGCAACTAAAAACGTGCAGGGTTACGGCCCTTCAGGAACTGAGTTTGACACCCCTGCCTTACAGTAAAGTGTAAAAATACTACATTAAACAATTGTCAAAATAAAAGTTGTGTTTGTGGGTGAGTGTGTGTTTTGTTCAAATCTGTAGTCATCTTGGCAGGTAAAAAGAGAAAATAAAGTCGGCTTCCTCTTGAATGATCTGAATCATTTTGAAGTGTTTGTAGATGAGCTGGATCATCATGTCATCTTTAGCATAAATAACATCCTATTCAAGCTATGCAGCTTCTCTGAGTTCCTCATCGACTTGAAACATGCTGATCTCTCCTGTCACTCCATCCTTACAGGAAACTGAGAAATAACCTATAGTTAGTAACGTTCATAATTAAAAAAAGTGATATAAAGGACACACTGTACACAAACATGTAAATAGATAGATGGATAGATAAATATGATGCAGGTTATAATAACAAAAACCGGTATGATCTGTAAGAAACTGAAACGCCTAGTGTTATTTTTAATTGCTATTAATGTGTGTGTGTGTAAATATACTTCAATTTATTAAAGTTCATGCTAGTTAATACTACAGTGTGCTGTTGCATTCATTAACAAAGTTGTAGATACTGCAATATATACTGTATAATACAGTTTACTATAGTTAGTATGGTTAAAAAACGTACTATTATTTACTATAAATACTATTACAACTTCTTATTTCATGTGGGTTGAATCGTATCTTTAGAACCATATAACATGATTGAAAGCAGCTCCTAGATAACTCATAACTGTTTCTTATATAAAAAACAAACAAGAGAAGCACCCAGCACAGTCCTTAGCTTAGCTAACAGTATTGAACATACAGATAATTATTAAAAATCATAACTTACCCTCTGATTGCTCGAGGCCTCCAACAACGTGAGCTGCCCTGTGTCCTGACAAACAGAAACGCCCCATCTCATTGGCTGGCTCTAGCCAATAAACTGGCTTTGCTGCTCTTTTACTGGTATGTACATTTCCACAGAATTTATTATTTTTAACAAGAATCTCTTCAGAAAAGAGTTTAAATAAACCCTAAATAATAAAATAATCGTGGGAAATGATTATTTTGCACCTCAGTCCTGTTGGCTGCTGGCATTGTTCATTGGTCAGGCATCAGCCAATCAAACAGCTTTACACCAGCCCCGCCCCTCCCCTGCCCAGCGCTGCTCACGCCTCTGCATCTGCGAGTGCACAGATGAGTTCTGCTACAGAGATCGCGGGAGATGTGTAGCAAAAGTCAGAGCGCGGGAGATTTGTAGTTGTACTGACGAATCTGAGAGGTTGTGAGTGCCGACCTGTGGTTGTAGAGCGAAGATGCAGTCAAATTTGCCGTGCACACGTGTGTCTGTCACTTTGTATTTGTGAATGACATTTTACAAATACACAACTATTAATCTGCAACTTCGAATTTAAAACACAAGTGTGTGGATTGTTGTGTGTGTGTGCAAATCGAGGATTTCAGCTGTTCACATCAGAGCTGTAAGTGTACATTTCAACCTACACATACAAATATTATTATCACAAGTGCTCACATTTACATTTGCAAGCTCTCGAGTTTCGCAACTGATTTACTTTCATACTTTTTTCATAGGTATTTTAGGTTATATGTACTGTATTATTTTGAGAAAAATAGCAAAATAGTACAAATATCTTTAAAGAAAAAATTATGTAAAAAGTACAAATTCTGAGGGATTGTGAGGGTGGCCCTCCCTAAAGGGTTCAAAGAGAACCTTTATTAGTGACACCTTACAATCACTAAGAGGCGACACTCAATAGAATGTTCCATTGCAAAAGCAAGCCCAGCAGTAGCCCCGCGATTCTACCTTTTTGGAGTGAAAGCGATCAGCCGCCCATTGGATCTTATTGCTGTCGCAATGGCAAGCAGTGGCTTGTTTTTTTTTTTTTTTTTTTTTTTTTTATCTAAAAAGCACATTAAGGCTGAGATACAAATTAAAAGATGACAATACAACACTTACTATTACAATCATCAGCACTTTTAATAGTTTATTTTACAAACCTATAATATACTGTTGTTCTATTGGAATTTTCATTCCAAAATAGCTGCTTTAGTGCAATTTGTGAGTGTGTGATAATATGTTTGGCCTATATTCACATTTTCTTTTAAAACAATAATTTATGCATATGTCATGCATCCATTTTGACAGCTAATATGTTTTCAAAATCAAAATGCATTTTTGATGCAAAATTTATTTAAACAGCCAGTTATGCCTTATGCCACAGGATTACGATACTTGAGTATCCTAAAAAAAATCTGAAAGTAAAACTAAATAAATTGCTAAATATTCTTGACACAAATTTTCCAGCCCACAACAAATGTGGAAAGTTATTGCACATCATATTTAACAAACAGTTTGCTAAAAAATTTATGTGATTTTGCTCACATTGATAATTTAATATTAATCAAATGATGTTATTACCGGCACATTACTTTGTGCCAGTGTAATGGAGGCCAGCTAGTGAAGTGCTGTGCAGGTAAACCTCACTCCTCTGACCTCTAAAGGTGCTCTAGCGACAGACGCTAGAGGCCATGGTCTTTTGCCTCTTTGTTAGAGCAACTGTCTCCCATGCCGGTCACCAGCCCGATCCTAGCTCGGAGCAGATTGGGTGATGTAGGTTGCCGGTTCGATCCTAGCTCGGAGCGGTTTGGGTGATATAGGACCGGCGGGGTTACACTAGAGCAATATCTCTGATATCTGATCCGGCACCTTATTTTACCGGCCACTTAGTGCCCGTTGCGATCAGATTTTTCTTCCGATGAATTTCTGGCAGTGTCCGAAGATTTCAGACACTTTTCTGCAGTGTGACAACATCTGGGATGAGCGTCAATCCAAGAACTAATTGGAGCTCCGAATTTAGTTATATTAAAGCAGTTTTTTTCTTCCTGGTTTTATTATTGAGATTGCTGTGTGCAAAATTGCTACTACAATGTGTTTTTGTTTGCTATGAGGAATCATTTCAAGACTTGGGATAGTGATATTGTCATGGGGGGGCGTTTTCTTTCATATTTGGTGCATCTTCATTGTCATTCAGTCTGACTTTATGACAGCTGAGATCTTACAGTCTGACATGAGAACCATGTTCGTGCAGTCTGACATGCTAGAATCGTTCATGATTATAAAAAATCGCACAGTGGGAGCCGGCCTTTAGCAAGGTAAGAAGAATAGACCCAGGTGTGTCCCTTAGAATGTAAAGTAAATGGTCAAATACAAGTAAAAAGATAACCATGATCATGTAAATATAGTTCATGAAACAGAAAGTGAGTGAGTAAAAATCTCAGTTCTGTCATTTCTTGTTCCCTGTACTCCTTCTCATTTTGTTGTAATGTTTGTGTGAATTTTCAACAATTTTCAATTATTAATCTTTAACAGATTAATATACACTATCTGCTGTTGTGAATGAAAAATAACAAATGAAGAAGAGAAAATAGCTTACTGCTCTTGACTAGATAATGTGTAGCTTTAATAATAAGAAGAAAAAGAAGAATTTAGTATTGCAATCTTTATTTGCAGTAATTAATAACAATAATTTAGCATTGAAATCGTTATTGAAAGTTTTATTATAAACAATGTGTTTGGAATTATATTGATATTGTAAAGTAAAATTACAGATACTATAATTTTGGTAATTTCGCCCATCCTCTCTGTTCCCAGCATTGGTCATTTTTGAATGTGTGTTTTAGGTGGTCCGGCAGCATTTTCTCCAGGGAACCTGAGTACCAGTAGCAGTGCCAGCAGCACTCTGGGCAGTCCTGATAATGATGAATACCTTCTCTCCTTTGAAACCATCGACAAGATGAGAAGAGTCAGCTCATACTCATCCTTAAATTCTCTCATTGGTAAGATTTCCTTTTTCAGCAGCAGACAAGACCGTTATTGGTTGTTACAACTGTTTGAAATAAAAAAAAATGCAGCTGACAACAGATAAAACATTGAAGAGAGCGTTCAATAGTTTGGCCAACCTTTTATACAGGCAAAAATTAATAAAAAATAGAATAAACTGGAGTGTTGATTGTGCCTCTACTGACACTGAATCAGTTTATAACTAATCATGACAATGTTTCTTATTACTTACATTGTGTAATTGTAATATCATAATCAAATAGGTATCTGAGCAAATTTTAAGACCAATCTGTTTGTCTGTAAGAAAAGCTTGTTTAGTAGCCAATATGAAACAAATCCTTTTTATAACACTCATAATAACCATTGTGTTGTGATGAAGAGTCAGATAAGTGTAGATCCTTTTGCAGCTTTTTATCAAAATCCAGATTAGTAGCAACAATACTCAGCATAAGAAGTCACAATGGCCAATCCAATAGACAAGCAAGTGTCTGGCAAGTGGAAAACAGTCAGAGTACATAGACTGATTAATGTCTGGTAACACAAAACATAGACCAGGGGTTGTTCCAGGCAAAAAAACAAAAATCAGAAACGAGAACACAGCCTAAATGTCAAAGAACAAGCAGGCAGACAGGGACAATAGGAACAAATAATTAACAGCTGGGGCAACATAGGGGCGTAGATTGGTTTGTAGTCTGTGGTGTCATCATGAGAGCGTGTCTTTCTGTGCATGTGTTGGACCTTGGCTTATGGAAGCCGCTGAAGATTTTAAATCTCTCTTTGGAGAAATCTTCTGTTTGAGCTAGGCCTGGTGTGTGAGATTTGAGACAGGTTATACCTCCTGTGAGAGCAATCAATCCTTGGTATGAAGGATTATGTTGGTTGAAGTCCGAACGGTGCCCATTCAGAATTGAGAATATTCCCTAAATTCAGAATTCAGGGTGACTGCTTTTTGCTCCAGATAAGTCTTTAATCGAGTTTTAAAATGAGAAAGTCTGCCTGAACCTCTGACATTATCAGGAAGGCTATTGCAAAATGTAGGAGCCATATATAACAATGGTTGACGTCATTTAGTCAACTTTGCTATTCAGGTTAGAACTAGAATCCCTGAGTTTTTTTGTGATTTTAGTGAGGGGGTTTGATTGTAGCGAGACAGAAGGTTGATTATATGAACATGGTTAGATAAAAAGAAACTAAGCACTTTTGAGCCTGGTTTCTAACAAAGCTGTTTTAATATGTTGCACTACAGGGTGGGCCATTTATATGGATACACCTTAATAAAATGGGAATAGTTGGTGATATTACTGTCCTGTTTGTGGCACATTAGCATATGTGAGGGGACTTGTAAATGACTTATAAAAGAATAAAGTTACGGTAAAACCAAGCTCACCATTTTTTTTTGTGAACTTCCCAATAAGTTTATTAAGGTGTCCATATAAATGGCCAACCCTGTATAATGGAATAGTTAAAATAGTATATTCATGCATGCATAGGTTTCAGAGGCATTATCTAGATCAGGGGTGTCAAACTCAAATTCACAGAGGGCCAAAATTAAAAAAAGAACATTGTCGAGGGCCAGTCCAATTATTTTTATTAATTAATTTGTTTTTATTATCTTTAAGATACAGTAAACTACTGTATTAATCATCCTCATATATTACAATTGAATTTTTGCTTAAATACTGAAACCAGAACAGGTTTAAGAAAATAATAAAAACAAAAACTGAAAAAATATCAGGCTTCTATATATTTAACTTTATTCATTTTAATTATAACCTAAATCTTTTTATCACAGACCATCAAGGCCAACACCTAAAAAAAATATCTCTTTCAACTTTGAACAGACCATGCCATCAGTAAATGAAATAATATTTATCCATTTTAGTTTTTATCACTGTTCATTTACTCTGATGATGCACATGGGTCCAAGCCAGATACTTGGCATCGCTTTTTACATGCAAGTGCATCAATTTCTGGAGTCAGGCTCTGCGCAGAGGAAATCCTCAGGACTGAATGAAGGTGATATGGTGCGTTATTCACATCAAACGTAAAGGGGTTGCTACAAAGTTCAAATCTACATTTTTGGGTTTCAAAGTCGGCAAATTGTTGGGCAAACTCAGCACCAAGTAGGATGAGTTTTTCAGCGAACTGTGCAAAAGTAATAACTTCATTAGTGGTCTGCTCTTTCGTGACTTGGTAGCACAAAAAATGAGCCAGGTTTCCCTGCTGCATCTGATTCTCCCACAAGCGCAACTTGGTTCTAAAAGCCCTCACGGCGTTGTACATGTCTGTGATGATGTGCGCGCGCCCCTGAAGCTTCAGATTGAGCGTGTTGAGATGATTCATGATGTCACATAGAAATGCAAGCTCACATTGGAACTTTTCATCCCTGAACTCTGTTCTGTGTCTTTCCCTTTGCTTTCCATGAAAAGACAAATTTCCTCACGCAGCTCAAAACATCTCTTTGCAACTTTTCCTCGGCTCAGCCACCTCACCTCTGTGTGATAGGGCATGTCGCTATGGTCTGCACCCAACTCCTCAAGAAAAGACTTGAACTGACGGTGATTCAAACTTTTAGCTTTTATGAAGTTGACAACTTGCGTTACAGTGTTCATAATGTGAGCCATTTTCAAGGCTTTTCCACACAAAGCCTCTTGTGTATGATGCAGTGGTAAACTGTAAGCTCACCTGCCTGCTTTTCCCGCATCTTGTCTCGCATCCTGCCGACCAATCTGGTCTTTTGACCACACATCGCGGGTGCTCCGTCAGTGGTCAGTCCCACAAGCTTATCCCAAGGCAGCTTCATTTCATCGATACATCTGGATACCTCCTCAAAGATGTCTTTTCCTGTCATGCATGGATTTTAGTCCTAATGTTCCTCTGTAACAAAGATTCTTGTCCACTCCACGAATAAAAATTGACAGCTGGGCTGTATCGGAGGTGTCGCTGCTCTCATCCACAGCAAGTGAGTATGCAACAAAATCTTTCTCATCAGCTGTTCTTGTAGATTGGTGGCAAGTTCACATGCACGCTCAGCTACAGTATTTCTGCTCAGGCTAACATTTAAAAATGCCTGTTTTTTTTCCGGGTAAACGACCTCACATATTTTGACCATGCACATTTTTATAAACTCTCCCTCATTAAAGGGCCAGGCTGATTTGGCGATCTCCTGCGCCAAAATAAAGCTAGCCTTTATTGCAGCTTCACTTTGGGATTTTGCTTTGGTGAACATAGTTTGCTGTGACATCAGACCTTTTTTCATCTTTTCCACCTTCTTAAGTCTCTCATTTGCGTTCAGATCCTTATACTTGTCATGGTGTCTCGTTTCAAAGTGTCGTCGTATGTTATACTCTTTTGATACAGACACGTTGGTGCCACATACAAGGCAGATAGGTTTATTCTTTACCATGATGAACATGTAGTCTGTCTCCCATCTGTCTTGAAAGCTTCTGTTTTCTATTTTTAGTTTGACCATTTTTCGGGAGGGTGAATTTGAGCGTCAACACAAGAGGTGGGGGTGTTTTCGCGCTCCGGAGTCTGGCGCGCCAGAACAGAATTGTGGGAATTGTAGTATTAAGGTCCCTACACATTAAACGCGTTTTTGACGCTGTCTAACGCTCGTCAAGGTGCAAGCAGGCGCAAGCAGACATTGAAGCCAGAGCAGACCTGGCGTCAATGCCGTGATGACATCTGGGCGCGGCCAATAGGAGAGAAGCTGTTTTTAGGTTGGACGGAGTTCCCGATGCAGAGCAGTAAGCCCCTGCTGAGCTGAGCTAAGCGATAAAGGAGAGTTTTCTCCGTGGTGTCCCTTTAAAAAAGTTTAATATGTAATTCGTAAATTGTTAAAACTGACAAGAAAGACTGGTATAATACTGGTGAAATAATAATCATAATTAAATAATGCCGACACTTCGAGCCCCGAGTATCGCCAATGCCTCGGCATTTTCGACAATCAAAAGAGACAGTTCCGGCACTCATAGAAAAATGCTGCCTCAATTGCGGGACGATTGCCACACATCGAGCCTGCTCCATTTCGTTTCCGTTCGTGTTTTTAAGACACGAACGAAAAGTGTCTCGGACGGAAGTGCTTCTTCTATCGCTTAGCAGCAGCTAAATTTAGCTTTCTACTCCACATCGGGAACTTCCGCCCCCGGCACTGGCTGCTCTAATATTGGCCACGCGTATATGTCGTCACAGTGTTTTGATGCTCGAATTAAAAATGTTTTAAATCGGGAGTCAAACGCCACCCTTGCCCGACGCTCTGTGCCTCAGCGCAGACTTGCGCTCTGTTGTTGATGTCCCACATACACAATGAATGGCTGTGCTGACGCCACCCAGCGCTTGACGCGTTCAATGTGTAGGCACCTTTAGCGGTACGTGTGCTGTATAACGGGCCAGAGGGCTAAGGTTATAATAGTTTTAGATTTTTCATTAGTTTTAGTTTCTATTTCGTTTTGACTTTTTGTTTTCAAATTCAGTTAGTTTTTATTAGTTTTAGAGGCAGATTTCCTAGTTTTTATTAGTTTCTATATTTTAAAATGTCCTAGTTTTAGTTTAGTTTTTATTAGTTTCAGTATTAGTTTCAGTTTTTTTTTTCTAAATGAGGATATTTGTTAGGTACAAGATTCAAAATCAACAGGATAAATATTGTATAATTAAAAACACAGTCATACATTTTTTGAAACATGTATTCAGAGGACACATGAACACTATCATCTACCAAAACCATCTACCCATCCTCAACTTCAAGTACAACAGCCCACAAGAAAGCAGCCCTAAATACAATATGTGTGCAAGGCTGCTTGTGAGGTTAGACGTAGTGATGGGCAGGGCCGGATTAGTCAATGGGCATTATGGGCACATAATGCACATACTTTCCATCACGAGGAAGACAAGTAGGAATAATTAATAAGTGTGTGTATTATGGAGGACTCAGATTCCTTGAACTGGATTGGAGAGGTGTTATCCAAATCATATGCATTATAAGTTTGTAGAAGTTATACATTAAAATTACCATGCATGCTTAACCAGTTAAATCAGGATTGACTGTTGTTCCTCTTCTCTTTGACTTTTCCAATTTTTGCCTGACTCTAACAAATATCTGCACAACGAAAATTTAAGCAGGAGTTTTATAATATTGTGCAGATTTAAAATAAATCTAGTTCATTTGGTCAGTTAATTCTTGCTGCGAAGTAGCTCAAGAGGGAAATATTAATAATCACAATTATTTATAATTAATTATAATATTAAGATATCTGCAGTCTTGCTATTTGAAAAAGAGAGCTAATAGAGTATATTGAGGCTTCAGTTGATGTTGATGCTAAAGCTAGTTGATGACAGAGAACCAGTTTGAGTCGGAGGATCTTTGATGAATGGAAAAACAAGACCAAAGCCTGGGACAGCTTAGGGTGTGGTTAGGAAAGATGCTCAGCATCTTCTGCTGTGATCTCTGGTTGCAAGAAGAAACGGGAGGTGTTGGTCTCCAGCTTCGATTAGGATGGTGATGTAACACCCTAGGGGGCTGAGGTAAACAATGACAAAAAATTGGAACATTAGTACCTTTGGTCACTTTCTCTTACACCGGTAGGCATGTAACGATTCACATGATTCACGAATTAATACGATTCACAATACTAATCTTACTCACGATTTAGTTGCAATTTTTAACACAATTATTTGAAACAAATTCAAGGTGAAGAGCCCTTTCATTTTTTTTCTTAAATGTTGCACATTTTCTACAAAATAATATATTTTCTGCCATAACCAAATTGACCCTTTGCTAAGCCCCGCCCTCCTTAGTTACTGTTGCTATGCCTGTCAAGCTTTCGTGCCTGGCACATCTATTACAATATGTAGAGTATGTGCCAGTGTCAGACATTCCCAGGGATATAATTAGTCATTTTTGGCAAGCAGGTGAGATATTCGAGAAAGCCAGACAAAAATGGAATGCAGTATGTGTTACAGGGGTATATTCACAACATAATACGCAACCGATTACAAAATTATTTAATCAAAACTGAAGCTAGGTTAGTCTAGCTGCTTCATATGCTGACCATTCAACAGTTCATGCACAGCAAGATAGGTGAAATTAAAAAATAATCTAATAATAACAAATTAAACTGTGATTTATCTTTTTTTGCCAATAAGCCTGATAGACTAATTGTTGTGAAATAAAATATAACGTTAGAGGAAACATGCATGCTTCTACATAATTCATTCATAGAAAGAGCAGCCAGAAAGGCGAAATTGATGGATTTGTGCCAAATACTAGCATCATTGATGCATAACAATATACAGTAAGTTACCTATAACTGTCAGTATGCTTGTGTGCTTTTTATCAATTTTCTCTTCTAATTTGCAGTTAAGTGAAATAAATAAATAAAATAAAATGTAAATTAAAGTATAAATAGCAGAAGTGAACAAATAGATTTTCCCTACCAGCAAATATTAATCAGACACCAAATATGAAAGCAGACACTAGCCCACTATAATGTTGTCACCAATGACTAAATCTTCAAAAGACAGATGAAAAAATTGGTGAATTATAGCTAAGAAAGGCAAAGAAGATAGTTTTGGACTTTAAGAGAGCACACATCTAGCATGCTCCACTAACCATCAACGTTGCTGCAAAAAAACAGGCAAATGCAGTTTCTTTAATACCAACATAATTTTCAAGCCTAATAAGGAGAATATTATAATGGATTGTATTAAATGCAGCACTGAGTTCTAATAACACTGAGGTCTAAAAGAATTACAACCACAATCGGACAACAGGAGCAGGCCATTTGTAACTCTTAGGAGTGCTGTTTTTGGGCAATGAATTGCTCTAAATCCAGATTGGAATTTTTCACAAATATTATTTCTCTGTGAGGACCATAGATGAGCACATCAGCTTTTTTTAGTATCTTTAATAGAAATAGCAGGTTTAAAAATTGGTCATTGAACGTGACTCCGGCTGATTCTAATATGCACAAATAGGAGATTAAACTAAGTACTGAAATCAGCTGTTGTTTTGCTTTGTCTTGCCTTGGTGTACTGCTGTTTCTTTGTGTTCTCAGTACTTTTTTTCTTCTCCTATTTCACTTTATTGAATATAACTGTTTTAATGGATTGTAAGTGTATGATTTCTTTATCTGTGTAGATTCATATTGACATCTGGTCCAATTTTCATGTGAATTGCTGCCCTGGAACTGTTTACAAAAAAAATGTGTTTAAGTTTTGATTAAGTATTTTCCCCACAGTAACTAGATGTAGAGGTATTTAATGTTTCCTGGAAAAGTATGTTTATTACTGCATAATATTATAATATACTGATCTCAAAGTAAAGGTTGTAAATTAGCTTTGAACATCATGTTTTATAGTTTAGCATCTGCTCTTCTTACATGCTACTGTTGTGTGGGTCTAGAAAAGTGTATGAAGAGTGAAGTGAAGTAGAGATGTCCATAGAGAATGTGTCATAGATGCGCTGATACACTCATATGCCAGAGGAGCTCTTGAAGTTCATACACGCGTAAATACACACTCCAGTACCGATATGCCACAGAGTCAAGCAGATTGGATGGTTATGCAAACATGGACACAATGCAAATTCATCTCATAATTTACATAGCTGAAGGAATGTGTTGAAGAGCATGATGAACTGAATTGTTAGATGGCATGCTGCAGATGATGATTGAATAACAATTTATGAGAATTGATAGAAAGAGAAAGAAGAAAAGACAATAATGTTTATGATAATGTCAGCTGCAGTTGCTGACTGCTCTAAGCACAGGAGTGAAAATATCAGATTTGAATCAACATGTTTCCATTTCTTAACAATAGCAATAACAGCTTCTAATTAAAGACAGATGACATCTATTACATTGCTATTGTATAAATCAGTGGTGTTGTTTTATTAGAACAAAAGAAATAGTGAAATAGTTTGTGACCTAAACTATTCAATGTAATCTTTTTTTTTTTTAATTATTAGTAATTATTTTGCTTTAATCCATTGACCAAGTTATAACTCAGCTGTTCATAAACTGTCCTGTATAAACTAATGTGTATGCATTATACATAGTGCCATAGTAAGAAATTACTGAGTTGTCTCTCAAAATGTTTTTTTAAATGCAAAGATGGCATTGTTTGTTATGACAACTCAACATAAACATTTACATCACAAAAGTCTTTTTATCTTTTCTTTATCTTTTCTTTAGGGTTATGGTGTATTGGTTTATGTCAGGTTGTCATAACAAACAATGTCATCTTTGCATTTGAAATGTCATAACTGAGCAAATGAAACTTAACAAAGCATGCATAAAATCTCATTCACATTCATGACATGTGTCATGTCATGATTATAAAGGTTCTAAGACAATCTTATGAACGCTCCCTTCAAGTAAAGTGTTAACTGTTATAACAATACATTGAAACTGAAGTACAGTCTAACTATTGTTGTATATGGAAATATTGTTCATTCTTTTCAGTTAATCAGTCTTATGATATCATGAAACATCTTAAGATATAAGCATCAGTATGATCCAGGGAATATCTGATTTTCATTTTAATGTCACTACATAATTTCTACACAAAATAATATTAAATGCAATAAATGTATTTGTGGTCTTACTAATTGATTAATTTCTTTATAATGAGACTAACATTTGCTCAAATGTGTTTTTTCTTTTTAGGAGTGTCTTTTAACAGTGTTTATACTCAGATTTGGAGGGTATTACTACATCTTGCAGCTGATCCATTTCCAGATGTCTCTGATCTGGCCATGAAGGTTCTCAACAGCATTGCATACAAGGTACAGACCTGGGAGACACATTGCACACGTTCCATTTAACTGTGCTCATGCATTTTTTAGGGGTTTCACACAGAACATTTTGTATTATATTACAGAACACTGTAAGTGTTAAAAGTTTCTTGCATTGATATCAGTGCTACATCATAAAACTTGTAACACCATTGCCTGTACTTTTTGGTTGCCACAAAGAATATCAGTAAAATAGTCTTATGCCTAATTCACACTAGCAGCAACTTTGTAGCTGCCTGTCGCTCTGAGTGGCGACCTGCTGCATAGGTCATAGGTCTCTGAGCGAACTGAGAAAGCATCATGTGAGCTCTACTGGTTCTCCTATTGGCTGTCGCTCAAGAAAGTCACTCTTCATTTGCATAAAGTTGAAGAAAGATCCTGGCCCACCTGATTGCCAACGATTGCTGTCGCTCGCATAGACGGAGGTGGGTGGAAGTCACTCACTCTGTTGAAATGAACGGTTGCTTGCCGCTTTGCCGCTCGTAGTGTGAATGAGGCTTTAAGCCCTGGTCAGATCACACAGTTTTTATTGTCGGTTATGAAAGTCAGATCATGCGATCTTTGTCTTGATCTTGTTGTGGGTAATAAATGTGCCAGACTACATGTACCTTCACAATCTGTCATCATGTGACGTCTACGACCATTCTTATTTCCCAAAGCAGTCCCAAGTGTTGCTATAGCAATATTTCTTATCTTAATTTAAATGTTTGTTTGTTGTTTGTTTGTTTGTTTTTATTTTATATACATTTTTATCTTATTTTAATCTCAATTAACTGATGGTTGCACAACAATAATATTCCATTCCAACTGTGCTAAGGATGCACAGTTATGGTAGAAATAATGAAATAATTTGTGTTCCTTCCATCAAAGAATGAGGGTTACATTGAAGGTGCTGACATGCAGAAATGTGTGCTGACAAATGCACATCATAACTACCCAATTCTCGATTCTAGAAAACACTTATTTGTGCAGTAGTTAATACAGTTAGTATTAAATATTGTTTCATATACCAGCAGCATTTCTGTTGAAATTGGACTGTTGAAATATGTTAGCTCAAATATGCTAGCACAATGTGCTCACAGTGGTAGTGGTTAATATTTATGAAGTTTTTATTTGATCTACGGAGTTTGATCACGCTGACTAGTAATTCATTTAGAATAAAATCTGAACTTCAAGCAGAGCAGGCAAGCTAAGCTACAGCTACACCCAGCAAGAGAGCAACGAAAACAACAGGGTGCGTTTCCCAAAACCATTGTTAGCCAACTAAGGTCACAAGTTTTGTCATTACAAACATAGTTTGTTGATTTGTCGTTTCCCAAATCAGTCGCTCCAAAATGCACTGCAAATTTGGGCACTCGCAACTTTACCACTAGAGCTGTAGTTCGAAACATAGTTCATGGCTGTGTTCTATTCCCACTTATCCACCCTATGCCCTATTGATTTAGAACACTCTAACATTCAAAGTTGGAATTATGAAATGTAAAAAAGCTTTAAGATCATCTCTCTTAGGTGTAATTTGCTTTCTAACTATTTTTACGGTTCAGTTTTAACAATCTTCATGTTTACAATTGTGCTCCCTTCACAGTGCACTTTGAAAACATTAATGTCATTTTGAACAGAGGCTCATGGTGAAAGCTATAGGTGATCTATTATTTAAAAGGGGAATTTATGTTACGCCTCCAAAGCTTGTGAAAACAGAAAGCATACGTCAATTTTTTTCATTCATAGTAGGTTATTTATTAAGTATCTGTATTGTATATGACATGGGCCTGCTGGTTAAAACCTTCTGCTGTGGTTTACAAGTGTCAAATTGTAAAAGTAGACTTTTAAAAAAATAAATAAACAATATCCTACTTAATAATAATATAAAATAATAAAAATCATCATCATCATAATTATTTATGTTATTATTAAAATATGTTTTTTCATTTCTAATACATAATATTTATTGAATTTAATTGAATTATTAGATTTAATTGATCTATTACCTCATTATTTGTTTTTTATATGATTTATATAGGATATTAGAATACGTGTTAGCTTTTATAAGTGATGTTATGTTTTAGAATATGATATGTCATTCTCAATAATATTTGTAAAGCAAACATAGGCCCAATATGTGCCATATATTTCAAATAATATAGAAAGCGTGTGCATGTTTTTACCAAATCTATCTTTGGATTTTATTTTAAATGCATGTTTGTGTAAAGCAATATAATTTACAAAATGAAATTATGGGGTTCTTCTCTAAAGAAGTTGTTACTCCACCCAGTTTAGAGCGTCATTGTGGGCGTTTTATGTTATAACTAACATGGTTCAAGCGATGGATCTGCGACAGAGAAACTATGCGTTTTGGGAAACACTAGAACACTAGAAACGATGCATCCTACCATGATAGTTTATGCAAAATTCACCCAGAGCGACAGGATAGCACTGGAAACAGTAGCTATATGTATATAACAGCCAATTATCTGAAGTTAGTTCTTTCAGATTTTCTAAACGGAAATTCCCCAAACTAATAGTGCAACCTATTAGGTAAACTGAAACCCAATCCCATATCAAAATGAAATAAGTAGGCAAGCTTATATTTTGATTTTCATTAATTATGTACAAACTTACTTGCTTATATCCCATAGAGATTTCTCTGCTTTTATTGACATTATCAGTACTTGGATTTAAATACAACAGGTGATTTGGAGTAAATCTTTATTATTTTTTTAAATTACGCTATATTCTTGTTATTACTTTTTCTTTAATTATTTTTTTATCTGAATATGTGGGGCACAATTACATGCATTGTAGTGTTTGAACTGCATTCCAAACTAAATAACTTAATTGATGTGCTCTCAATCAGGATGAGTCTGTTTTTTCTTTCAAGTAGATTGCAGCAAAAAAAAAGTTGGTAATGAGAAGTGTGTGTGTGTGTGTGTGAGTGTGTGTGTGTGTGTGTGTGTGTGTGTGTGTGTGTGTGTGTGTGTGTGTGTGTGTGTGTATGTGTGTGTGCGTGTGTGTGCGTGCGTGCGGGCATGCATGGATGCGTGCATGTGTGTTAGTATTGTTCTGGAATTGCAAGTTATTGATAGATTAACCTCATTATAATTTACCTTGCAGTCCTGCTATCAGATTTTAAAATTACACAGTTGTCACCTCTGTGTGATGGAATGTTTTTGCTTTTAGTGAAGTTACAACACAACAAAATCCTGGGTAAAATTTACTCAGTTATGATAGTATTTGCTCCCTCTCTAAATTGAGTTAACGTTACTCAGCAGCAGTTAAAGTTGAATGAAACAATGAAGGAATTAATTAAGTGATGTTTGAGCACAGATGATGAACACCTACTGTTAATAGGCAGAAACACAAAAGAGAAACACAAAACTAGTTCAAACAGCAACAGCAGATTCACTTATTACTAAAAATAAAAAAGCTTCTTTTTTTGTCACTATCGTGGAGAAAATTTACTTGAGCTCTTTGACACTATTTGTAATGATAGTTTGTTTGTTTGTTTTTTTTCTTGCTATGACAAGCAAAAGAGAGTAAATATTATCCGATTAACTGATCCTGCATTGATCCTTACTGTTGTTAAGTTTAACTTTGCATTGTGTTTGACTTTGCAAATTGTTAAAATGATGGTTTACCATTTAAGAGACAAAATTCTGTGGTTTTCAAGAGAATGGACCTCAAATGGTTGAAGTATTCTTTGTAGCATGTAGCTTCCAGAAGTTTCCAGTAGTTTCCAACTGCTTGGTTATAATGCTGATGTTTCATCTTTGGGTAGAGACTCGATATAATATCCATCTGCAGTGTGACTTCAATCGACCGGCATGTTTGTGTGCGTGTGTTTGTGGGTGTGTGTGTGTGTGTGTGTGTGTCTGGGTTTCTGCGTCAGAGGGCGGGGCCTCAGGTTTGAAATCTCCCGGGTTTGTGCGTGCACGTGAATAACTTGGTTTCGTTCGTACGTCATGGCGAAACACCTAATGACTCGTTATCAAGGCGACTCGTTTGAAGCACTATGAGTCGACTCTTTTATAGATGAATCAACCGTTTTAAACACTGTATTCTTACAGATTTAAGCCTTAGCTGGATACTTCACTTCACTTAGAGCTGTGTTACACACTACATGGAGGGGAATTTTCAAAAACCCATAATATGGGCTCTTTAAAAAAAAAATAAATACCGCTCAAACTCAAAGTTTTTTAGTGGTCATCTTCACATTTTTCAATTGGCCTGTACTGATTTGTGGCAACAGCCTGTTAACGTTGTCTCAATGAGAAATAATGTGTTGAGCCGATTAAAAAACCATCAAGGCAGATTGTGTTATTGAATATTTTAAATTGTTGTAGCATGCTTTTTAGGTTTCACTTACTTAAAAATGTATATTGGTAAATTTACATTTATAAAATAATTTTACTTAATTGTTTATTCCTCGTTGTCCTAAAAGAAAATGAATAATACCATATAAAAAAGTGATGATGCACTGCCACATTTATTCATTTTTTTTTTATTAAACAGTCACTATTGTAAAAATACATTAAAATAACAAATACATTGAACATTGCTATAGTATACCGGTTACACTACATCCAGTTTTGTGACCTAAAGTGAGGACTATGCTAAATTGTTTTTAAAAGATGATTAAAAGCTCTTTCAAATGAACATTCATTTTTGCAAACTTATCCAAAAAGTGAAATAAGTGTAAAATTCAAACATTGCGAAATAACAGGAGTGTCAATATATAACATAAAATTGGATAAAACAACATAATAATTTAACAATATATTTTATTGCAGTACAACATTTCAATGTTATTTAGCGATGTTTAAACTGCACAGTAATTTTATTTTATTTAAGATTGCAAAGATTTTTTTTCAGTTGATGCAGTTTTATTTGTATATCTTTAAATAAATAGAAATGAGTTAATTAAGCATTTAATAACTTACAAATTAACTATTACTTTGTGCCTAAATAATAAGACACAGTATATAATGTTAATT